AAAAAAAAAAAACCAAACAAACCCAAAAAACCAAAACCCCAGCTCTTTACTGGAAGATGAAGCAAGTTAGTGTGACCCAGCTCCCTAGCATCTGTATAGGTTGGGCACTTCAGCAGGGCTTTTTGGTGCTTTTATCTAACTAATTATCTAACTCAGTCAAACTAATGAGATGCCTCTTCTGGCTGATGAGCTGAAAGTAAAGCGCTGGGGTTTTTTTTAATGTCTGTAAGCAGCCTTGTTTGTACCTGTGCCTATAGTGTCACTTTTTCTGGTTTTTATTTTTTTGTGACAGTTAAGATTATTTGATCTGCAGTGAGTTGATTCCCTCAAGCTATGTAATAACATTTTAATCTCTGAGCAAAAATGGAAATAAAATTATCTAAACTCTTGTTAAAAATACTTGCTTCAAATTGTTCTTCATTTCCTAAGAGACAAATCCTTTAATTTGCTCTTTTTGAGGTCCGTAGAAATTCTGCTTGAGTTAAGAATGTAGGGTTTGGGCAAATATGTCCAGTCTTGTCCTACAGGTGTCAATGGGAAATCAACCTTTTAACTTTGGTCACTAGAGATTAGCTAGATATTTGATTGTGCTAGCTAAGCAAAGGTTTGCATTTGTGTGGTGCCACAGCTGCTTTGCCTCAATGAGTCCACTAGAAACCAAATGCATTCCTGAGCTATGTAGCATGCATGGAGAATTGTGGACATGACTACATTCTTCTCAGAGATCAGGAGATTTCTCCCAGATTTGAACCTGAATGTAACTGTGTACTTCTTCAGAAACAGTTAGGAAGAAATTCCTGCATGCTTCAAATGCAGGGGCTTTTCTCTTAGCCCTTATATGAGCTGCAGGAGGGGAAGCTGCTTGTTCCCTGTCACCCTAACACTTCACGTGTGTGAGTTGTCAGTAAACAGAAGTGCTACAATTACTGAGCTATGCTTAATACATGTTCTTTTTCTGTGTTGACAGGACCTAAAAAAACCTTTTGATAAGGCGTGGAAGGACTATGAAACAAAAGTGTATGTATTTTCTTTTTCTTAAAAAAAAAAAAAAAAAGCAGCTAAATGGATGTAATTTGTAATATAGATGTAGTATTGGTTTATATTAAGATGGAAACTAATGGCTTCAGTTGAAAAATTAGCCCTGCACAAAATCTGTGTATAGAAAAATTACTTGAAATTCTGTAGTTCATGTATATTATTTTGGATAGTATATGAATTGCCATTTACTGTTTTGTAGTAATGACCGTTAAAGTTTTTTGGTAACCTTTTTTGCTAACCTTTTTTGCTTAATAGGTTTCCGGTAGAGAGTAGGTAACTAAGAATCCCACAGTAGGTCCTTCCTTTAAATTTTTACATTGATGATCCAAGGTAGTTTGACCTCATTAGGCATCAGAGCATTCAAGGATTCATGTCTATGTACAAACTTTGGTCCACATAGGTTACATTCCCAGTGTAACTGGTGCATAGTTTTATCTGAATATATGACCTCCAAGACTTACTACAAAAGATATGCACACTTTCTTGATGCTACTTCAGGGGTGGGCAATTATTTGGGCCCAGGGGCAACATAGGGAGTTTTGACAAGTTGTCACAGGTTGGGTCAGCACCCCCTGCCCCCACAACAATTCACCAGAACTCCTATGTGGGAGGGCAGGGAGTGATGTTTGTGAGCCAGATGGGCAGGTGAGGCCAGGATCGCAGAGCGAGGTAATGGGGCAGCCTCTGTTTTGTTGGTGGGATTGGGTGCGGGGCTGCATGCACATCTATGTGTGGGAGGGACTGCTTAGGCACTAGGTCCTGAGATCCAACCGGGGTGAGGGGAGGGAGGGGGCAGTGCAGCAGAACTTGCCTGGGCCTGACTATTTTCCTTTGTGCATAGGGGGGAGGGGGGGGCAATGTTTTCCTATATAAATTTCTGCCTACTCACTGAAGAACCACCTCTGGTGGATGTGCTGAAACAAAAGGGTTAATAACTCTCTTAAAGCTGTGCACTTGGGTGGGCGGGAGGCACTTTTTTGCCCTTTGCAGAAACAGTCAGCTCTTCTTTAAGCTAATGAGGCAGGGAGGGGGGAAGACTTGCTTTTGTTTGTTTGTTTGTTCTTTTGCAAGTTCTTGCAGCAGCTACTTTGCTAAGAATCTCTGGAACCTACTGGGGTGGGGTGTAGACCGGGGGTAGGCAACGGTTTTTGGCCGGAGTGCTGAAAAAACCACAATGTCTACCTTGAAAGGTGCCGGAGTGCCGACATGCCAGAAAAACAAAATGGAGGGGGCGGTACATGTCAGGATGCACTGCATATTAGTATATTTAATAATCATAAATGTTGCCTTTGTTGTTGTGTATTCCTTTTTTGTTCAGCATGTTGCAGTGAAAGAGGAAAAAAAGAGACAAATAAGAGAAAGAGGAGAGAGAGAGAGAGAGAGAAAGAGAAGGAAAAAGGAGAGCAGAGAGAGAACCATGTGCACAAACGCAGAGAACCAGAACACACCCAAAACAGATGTATGCACACACGCATCCAGAACCAGACATGTGTGGGCACACCAACACACAGAGGCAGACAAACGCACAGAATAAGATGTGCGGGCGCACGGAGCCGGGCTCCTGGGCCACCGGACAAAGACCAACCCAACAATGCCTCCCGCCAGAACCCCAGTGCTTCCCCAGGAAGCCAGTCCCCAGGCTGTAGCACAGCTGGCCAAGGCTCCGGTCTGAAGCCTGCCCATCAGCCCAACCACCCACCCACCCTGCACAGCTAACTCCGCAAAAGGTGCGGTGCTCCTGGCAAGGGGCAGCACCAGCCTCATCCCGGTGTAGGGGCTGGGCCGGGGCTAGGCTCAGAGCAAGTGGGAGTCAGACTGGCTGAGTTGCAAGCCCTGCTGCAAGCAGCCTGGGCTCCGTGGTTGGCAGCAGCTACCAGAGCCTGGGCCAGCTGCAGTCGGGAGGCTGCAAACAGCTGCTCCAGGCTCCAGCATCAGCTCCATAATGGGGGGGCAAGTGGACCTTGGAGCAGATGGTGTGGATAGGGCCTGAGGCAGCACTGACTTCCCTCTGTCTGCTCTGAGGTGCATGTGCAGTCGCCACCCGCATGGAGCTGATGCCAGGGTTGTGGAACCCGGCGCAGCTGTTTGCAGCCTGCTTGCTGCAGCTGCCCAGTGTGGCGCCCTGCTTGCTGCAGCTGCCCAGAGCCCAGGCTGGCTACAAACAGCTGCTTCAGGCTCTGGAGCCCCACCATCAGCTCTGTGCCAGCAGTGGGGGAGAAGCCGGGGTTACGCTGCCTCAGGCCCCTCCCCCACCGTCCACTCTGAGGCACACGTGCACCCGCCAGTATGGAGCTAATGCCAGAGCCTGCAGCAGATGTTTGCAGTCTCCTGGCTGCAACCCGCCCAGGCTCTGGGTAGCTGCTGCCAACCATGGAGCCTGGTCTGCTTGCAGCAGGGCTTACAGCCACCCAACTGCCTGCTGGGAGCAGCCTGGGCTTCATGGCTGGCAGCAGCTGCCTAGAGCCCAGGACGGCAGTGGCATGCCGAGCAAAATGGCCTTGCGTGCTGTGTTCGGCACACGTGCCAGGGGTTGCTGACCCCTGGTGTAGACTGATTTCACTCCTTCCTTCCTGCCCCCATCACTGAGTCCAGACTTTCTTTCTGCCTGGTTCCTTTTCAGGTCAGGCTCGATTTGGGTCCAATGCCATAGCAACAAAGTTTGGTGCCTCAGGTAAAGCCCACAGTGGCAGCCTGCTCTTGCCCCGCACAGATCCAGGGGGCACACCCCACCCCCCCATGCTTCCCCCGGAGCGCACTCAGCAGCGGGAACTGCCTTCCCCCATCTCCGTGCCCCTCCCAAAGGAGCTGCTCATGGCTCCGTCCCACATTCCACTCCGGCTGGGCGTGCCTGTTGGTGCCCCTTCTCTTCAGCACCCAGGGCGGTCACCCCGCTTGCCTGCCCCCCCACTTGCTATGGCACTGATCAGGTCCCTTTCAACACTGTGTGTGTTGAGGAGGGGGCAGTGTGGAGCGGACAATACACCCCTCCAACCCCAGCCTCTGGATGAGTGACTTGCTCTGATTAGCATCTTTGCTCTCCCAGGGGTCACTGGCAGCACTAGGTTATCTGCAAAGGGAAACTTTGAATTCCCCAAAGGCTTTGCAAGCTAGACAGGAGCTTCCTTTGGCTCCGTGTAGGGCGGGGGGTTGGGGAGTGTGGTTGTGTTCCAGCACAGGGCGGGTGGGGTGGGTGGAAGGCAGCCAGGAGCTGGAGCCAGAGCCCCACATGCCAGGGCAGGAGCTGCCTGGCTGAAGCTTCCTCCCAGCCCAGAGTGGTACAGCAGGAGGAGGAGGTGCTAGAGTCAAGGGGAGTGGAGCAGCACCCAGGTGATGGCAGCCACACCAAGAGCAACCTTACCAGAATCTGTGCGTGCTGGCTGGGGCCAAGTCGGTAGACGCAGGCTAGAGTGTGGCATGGGCTGCTCTGGACTGGGCTCAGCCCCAGGCAGAGCATGGCGGGGGCAGCCATGGGCCGGATCCAATCAGTTGGCAGGCTGGATCTCGCCCAAGGTCTGCATTTTCCCTATCCCTGTGCTTCTTGTATGCAAGTCACTTTGTCTTGTAGAAGATGAAGGCAATACATACTTACCAGAAGATTTTTTGTTTGTTTGTTTCTTTTACCATCTCCAGTAACATTTCCAGATGGTAGTCTGGGATGTTCATTTCTTCTCTGTTTTTTTCAGGGAGTTTAAAGCTCCATATCGGGATTCTAGCATCCAGAGCTAATTTTTAGGCCTGTAAAACTTTCTCTTTTTGATGAAGACCAAGGACTCATTTGGAGCGGGGGCGGGGAGAAATGCTATATACAAATGTTTGAATAGAGTTTTGTATAACAGCGCAAATATCTTATGGTGTTACATGTTAAGGAAGGGGAATAACAAATCCTGATTATGTGTGCCTGTTACCAGAGAGAGTACCTGCTTTGTCTATGTCTGCGTCAAGATAAAAAAATGAATAAAAAATGAAAGCCTACAGGATCCTTGGTAGATTTCCCCTTCTTGGACTGGAACCTTTGTGTCCTCTCCAATTCTGTTGGTACAAACAATCTGCTGGGAGATCATCTTTGATAGTCAAAGATGCTACTTGTTAGCCCTTAATTGCATTTTGGATCCTACCTCTGAATCACTAATTATTAGGCATTTGTTTTTAGGTTGAGGTAAAAGTATCTGAACTTAAATCAGTCTTAGTTGACATCCTGACTTCTGGATTTTTTACAAGTTTGGTGAGTGTGCATCAGAAGTCTAATAAATGCTACCAAAAAGCAGGTGGTTTGACCAAACAAAGCTGTCCTGATATATAGATATATATCTATATTGATGATATATAGACATATAATTATATATAGATATATAATTTATATTGATGATATTGAAAACAGTACAGGTTGTTCTCAGTTACAGATATCAATAATAACAGTTAGATGAGAGGTTGAGACCAGGTTTTAAATACCACAGTATTTAACAGGTGCAAGGGCTGGAGACATTTCTATTTCCATATTGGTTTTAGAAGAAAAGTAAAAGACTTAGCCCAACATTTACACAAGGAAGAGTTTATTCCAACAGAAGTATGATTGTCTCGATGGAAGGAATGTAACAGCATTACCTGTAAAAGGGCACACAGAGAAAAGAAAGATGTTGGCTTATTCACTGCCAAACACTGGATTGCTTTTGTTCTGCCTGACATCTTCATATTATATGAACTCAAAGACACTTACAGTGCAGATGAGACATGCATTTAGTATAGAACTCTACTGGATGGCATTTAGCATGGAACTCTGGTCTTGAAATCAAACAACACCAGTAGCTGTAAAAAGACAAAGGAGGGATGGACTGTTCTTCGTGGCCAGTAACTTGGCAGGAACAAGCAAACTGGAATGATGGCTATTGGTGAAAAGAAAGAACCCAGATGTTTTAAAGGGAACAGCTAATACCAGTCAGTTGCATGGAAAACACATGGAGGACTGGGGGAATTTCCCTAGA